ATCCTCTTTTTTTGGTGTACTCTTGAAGCCTAGCTTGCACCCACAGTAGCGTGGCAAAGGAGAGAGAAACCTCCCTCTCTTTCCTTCATTCATTATATCACTACTGATGGAGAAGAAAGGTGAATAAGTGCATGGGTACAGCTCTGCCCTCGCCGGTCCGGGAAGGATCCTTTAAAAAAGTCCCATATGCTCAGAGACTTTGTGCCTGTTCATTGGGGGATATAGGAAGCCCAGAGCACTTATTCTTTAGATGTCCCTTTTATGAAGATCCACGTAGTGAGACCATTGATCGCCTGCTGGTGAGGCTCACTGACCTCCCGGAAAAGCAAAAACTTGACCTTCTCCTGTTAGGCAAAGATCATAAGACGACCTGGATGGTCGCCAGATTCTGTGTACAGATCTGTAGGCGCAGACCATCTCCCAACCCAAACTAGTTCGTTAAGAAAATCCCCAAACTCGGTTCCATGGGTGACTCTGGGTCATCTCTCTGCTGTAGCTTATCTTAAAGTTTTAAGTGTCTATACACTTATCCCATTTATAAATTTTAAATTTATTGTTGTACATTGTTTTAAATGTTTGTTTTCCTTCTGGGATTGTACGCCCAAGTGTGTTTTATAAGCTGGTATCCGACCGTAATAAATTATCTATCTATCTATCTATCTATCTATCTATCTATCATCTATCTATCTAAGTGTGTGGGTGAGAGATGACTTAAGTTCTTCTCCATCTTAGGTTAAAATCCAAGCCAGATAAGTTCTTTGGGGCTGTAATGCTCATCTCAAAACTGAGCTACTATGAACCACCAGGATTCCAAGGAAGGAGATTCAAGGTTTGGTGGCAATGCTAGTTTCTATAATGTTATATATTTTGTACTTGTTTCATTAATATAATTTTATTGCTGATCTTATGCTGTTCACTGCCATTATGTATTTTTTCTTAGCGCTGGCAGTATATACATTTTTGCAAATAAGCAAAAGCTTCTATTTGCCCATAGTTTTGCCTGGGGTCATGCACTGTGACGACTCCCATCAAGTAACTATCAAGGGCTCATGACCAGTTTTTCAGCCTACAGCACTGCCACTTATAACATGACACTGCCTACGTGTGACAAAATCCAGCAATATATATATATATATATATTGATGTAGGAAAGAGAGGCAAAGCGACACCTCCCAGACTGTCACCCACATTTAAATAAATATGTGCCACATACTTATTATCAGATTCTCAGATTCGGCTGCTTTGAAATGAATACATTAATATTTAAAGGTATTACTTATTCTTGTTTTCAAGATTGCAAATGCTATTCTATCATCTTTCTCTAATACTTTGTACTGAAACACAAAGTCTGTCAGCAGAATTTATTTACAAGTAATAGGGGAAACTTCTTAGAGGGAGAGAGACAGAAAGGGGAAGAATGAAAAGCAACAGCTGGCATTGGTTCAACCCCCAGTGTCTGGCGGTGCTGATAATAGAGGTTCCCCCCCGCCCTTGAAATTACAATTATTATATAATGCTTTGCATATCTTGTAACTATTATGCATGAGCAAACTGTATGTACGCACTGGACGGCATGATCCACAAAATGACTTGAGTCACTCTTCTTTCTAATGCTATGAGCTTGTTATTTACACAATGGGTCCCTGCTGAATAACCTCAACAGGGCAATGCTGGCTTTGCAAACATGCAAGATATTGGTTTTAAATGGTATGCAATATAAGCTTATAGGAAAATTCTGTTGGAATCTATTTGGGAACTATTTTGAGAGCATCAAGAAAAGGAATTATAAAAATGAAGGTTAAGAGTGACATATGAATTTTTGAAGCTTATCTCCCCCCTATAAAAAAATTAGCTAAGAAACCCCTCTACCTCTTTTTTGGGGTGGGTGGGTTATGCCATTGGCTAAATTATAGGGGAGAAGGGAGGTGCTATCCTTCAAAACCAGTGCTGTACACTGTATACACAACCCACAACTTAATGCAGTGATTAAACAGAGAGTCTTTTTCATCAGTTTGGCATCCTAATATTAAATTATTAAGGTCCAACCCACAGGCTAGGTACTTTACAGAGATTAGAAAGAGACGATTCCCAACAGTCAGCGTAAGATGAAATACATGATAAGTAAGGGGTCGGGAAATGCAAGGGGCAGAAGAAGCAAATCCTATGGGGGAAGGATGGCCTGAGCAAAGGTAATATTTCAACACTTCATGGAGATGGAGATGGATGAAACAATGCACACACTGTGGGGTGGGGAGGGCGGATTCAAAAGATGAGGTGCAGCAAAGGAAAAGGCACAAAGGCAGGAGATGAAAGCGGAAACTCCTGAACTTAAAATGAAGACTGGTGGTGAGCAAAGAGAATAAGGTGGCAGAGAAGGCAAAGGAGGGGGGGGGGAGCCAGTTCATAAGGAATGGGAGAATGCAGGCACTTCAGGTTGAGTAACAAAAGCTTGACTGAGGCTCTATAGATAAACAAACACGGCACGTTTTGTCGAGTGAAGAGAACTAATGCACACTGAGGCCTGTGCAAGACCAGCGCAGTAATGATGTAAATATGTTTCATGACACTGCACTGGTAGCTCAAGCATTTAAATGCTTAATAATCCCATTGTGGTCCCAAAGAGCTCACACAGCAAGGGGCCGAGGCAGGTTGGTTGCCGCTTTACCAGCAAGAGCTCCTAGCGAGCAACTTGCTCTGACAAAGGCTGGAGCTGAACTGAGGCCCTCGGGTTAGAATTTATTTATTTATTTATAGAAAACGGGAGATACGTAGCCGCTCCAGCAACATATCTCACATCCAGAAACGCAAGAAGGGCTTTCACTCTTGCTAGAAGCTCAGCCTTGCCCTCACCGGTTCTAGAAGAGTCCCGTACGCACAGAGACTTTGCGCCTGCCCATTAGGGGAAATAGGAAAGCCCCGAACATATATTTTTTAGATGTCCTTTTTATGTTGAGATTTGTAGAGACACCATTGATCCTTTTGCTGAAGAGGCTCGCCGATCTTTCAGACAAGTCTAAACTTAATTCTCTCCTCTTAGGCAAAGATCACAAGATGACCTGGCTGGTATCTAGATTCTGCGCCCAGATTTGTAGGCACAGATCATCCTCTAGAATAAAATAGCTTACTAGGGAAATGCTGAAGTCGCCCTTTGGGGTGCCTCAGGGTCAATTTTTAGGGTAGCCCAAATCTCAGTTGTTTGGGTGTATGTATATATCTCAATTTTAACTCATGAGCTATTGCTGCAATCTGCTCTGATTGTATATTTTATCTTTATGAATGCTGTTTTTATTGTGTTATGCAAGCGGGTCTTTGACCGTAATAAATTATCTATCTATTTATTTATTTTATATACAACCCTTCATCTGAGCATCATAGGATGGTTTACAGTATAAAAATAACTGCTCATACTAACTTTGTTTTGGAGAGATCCTTTGTATTTGTGAACACTCACAAATATTCATGTTATATTCCTGTGTGTGAGGACATAACAGATGGACCACAGTGGCTAAGAGGATTACTCTGCAAGGCTGGAAAGACAAACATCAACTACCTAACACCCAATGAAGATCTCACTGCCCATTTTAAATTACATAGCTTGTAATTATATATTTCATTTGGACATTTGGACTGCTTATGCTAATTTACACATTTACGTCAGAACTAAGAGAATATTCTTATTGTTAATGTCAATACTGTTCTATTATTTATTATTATTATTATTTGCTTGCCTTTATCTTTTTCTTTCTACTATATTCTCAAATTAAAAAACCAAAAACAAAAAGGAGTAACATTAATGTGGAAATATTGCTTGCTAACTCTGAAATGTGCAATTTTGCAAGATTTAGCACTAAGCCTTATGCAACCGGACTGACTGAACAGTTATTAGGAACATAATATAGAGGCAGGTATACTACAATAACTTCTCCAGTTTCCTAGATACAAAACCAGAGAGTTGTAGAGTTACATGCAATTTAAAAACCATCCAAACCAATTTCCATTCTCTAAGGCAGAGCCGTGTATTCATTGTTTCTCCCAACCTTGAGTTACACACACCAAATCACCAACGTGCCACAAACAGAACACAGGTGCAGAAAACCAGGTGCACAGCCTCAATATGACACAACTGCAGCCTTCCTAACCCTCCAGATTTCTTGGACCATTGGCCCCAGCCACCATGGCCAATGGTCAGGAGTGGTGAGAAAGGGACTCTGAAGCATCATCGGGGCATCAGGGAGAGGTAGGCTGCCCTAGCACAGTGAGCAAAGCTGTATCCTAAGGGAAGGCAAACATTGCCTGCAGTTTCATTGATCAAGTCTCATAAGCTCAGTGCAAAAGGGAGGGGGAGTTTAAATATCTCTTTAATGGCTGCCCAGGGAGAAAATAATCCACCGGTCTCTGTAGAAAGTTTCAGACAGGGATCAGGGTGAAAAGAGGAGAGATTAGGTGTATCAAAATTAACAGGAGGGTGAATATAACGAATATTTTTCATCCTACCTCTCAATATTTCCACAAGAAGCTGTGCTCACAAGCCAAAGTTTACGAAGCAAGCTGTATAGGCGGCAAGCATTCACAAAGGTCAAATGATTCATTAAGCACTGGGACAAAGATTTCTGGGCAGTAGTGGCTAGTGAGGTGGCACAAAAACCATGAGCAACTGAGACTTGCCAAGTGGGAGCGGGGAGTTAGGAGTTTGGCACGGTGCAGCATCGGATCGGTCCCACTGCACCACACCACCCTGCCAAGCTTCCTGTCTCTCTGCTCTCTCAGTAAGCTCCAGAGACCCACCATATTGGAAAGCCAGGAGAGGAACAGTGCTCCACCATGGCCTCACCAGTCTCTGCTGCTCCTGGGATCACAGCGCCAGTCTACCTTTCTCTAACATTTATGACTCCATTGGCAACGAGCAACATGTGATGTGCTTCACTGTACAGAGCAAAGAAAGCAAAAAAAGCAAGGGCAGTTGGGTGGATGGGTGGGGAATTGCAACACTGGTTACTCACGGTATTGAAATTTGGGAAAAGTCCGACAGCAGGACTGCCATCCACTGGGAAGGACATAAATGGTTTGATATCCAGGGAGGGCTGCATCATGAGCGTAGGCGTGCGGACAAGGGTAGGGAGCGTAGTTGTGTGGCACGTGCTGCCTGCAGAGAGAAAAATATTTATATATAAAAAAGATTTATTCAATTAACCCCCCACACACACTTTAATCCACACTGTAGACATTAATCCTTACTGGTGAATTCTGTTTGAACCTAAACATCACCATTTGGTGGTAGGAATGAATGCAATTTGTCCTCATAAAGAACAAAAAGGACTTTTACATTATCAGAACTGCTTGGAGTCTGCAAAACTGAGAAACTTTGCCCCAGCAACCAAAGCTAGAAGTTTCAGTTCATAAAAAAGGTCCTTAAGAAGTACATGTTGCACGATGTTCTACATTGTATGTGTGTCACATGATTTTTAGATGATGCAAATTAATTGCACATTCAACTGAGGATTTTGCTAATTATTAAAACCAGGCATATGAAAAATAGGTTTTATTACAATTATTTATATTTATCACAGCACTGTCATAACTACATGAGGTTAAAGAATGCACTACTATAAATTATCCCACTCCAATGAACTATCTACCAAATCCATAGTCCCTTACAACCTCAGTCTATGAATCAATTATATTAGTTTGACAAGCAATGAGACAGCTTCATAATCCATCTGCTTTTTCGTTTCAAACCACCCAGTTCATTATCTTTCCCACTTAGCTCATCAAAACAACCTCAACTCCCATCAGTCTCATCCAGTAATCCTTTACTGGCTGCTTCTCCCTATGTTTTTCTATAATTCTTGTTTTAATAAGGAAGTAATATACTGCCGTTTCTCATTATGCCAAACCTCCTTGAGTTTTCGGTCAACTGATCTACCTTTCCTCAAAACTCCCAGCCACAAAAGCTCTTCAAATTTACGTTTCCATCAAACGGGTGTCTTCCTCCACCTTCCAACAGATTGTTTCAAAGAACGAAGATAAAACGAAGAGCCCAATCATAGCCTCAAGCATTCTGGCTCTCCAGAAAAATATTAAAAATTGTGCCCTCTGTACGTGCAACTTACCTGACCATGACTTGTCAAGCCTGTTAAGTACAGGCTACACACCAAATATATTATATGGCATCAACTGACTTTATTTGAAGGCTAAAGGCCAAATGTTTAAGAAGAAACAGGAGGAGCACACAAAACAAGCAGACTTGCTGCTCTTTGCTAGCTGCACACACACAGCTCATATTCTACAGGCTACACAGGACAAAAAAGTTGTTCCTTAAAGATACATCAGCACCATTTTATAAAAGTTGCACGCATCACAAAGCCAAAGCAGAGATTCTCCTTCGTACAAATCACTTATTATTCCATTCTGATAGTGATGGCGGACAGATGTCTCCACTGTGATGCTTGCCTCAATAACTCTATGCCAGCAGTTGCTGACATGGCACCCATGAGTGCACTGGTGCCCTTCAGATCTTCTCCTGGTGCCCACAAAGTTCACCACCGCCACTCCCTTGGCCCTGAAGTGCTCAGAATGGGTACCCTTTCCCTCCCTTGCTCAAAAATCCAAATGTGTCCATTAGTCTAAAAGGGTTAGCGATCCCTGCTCTATTCATAGGATCCCAAAGGGCTGTTGAATACTCGCCTACGCTCCATACCTGGCCTCAGAATCTTTCACTACCTCATCCACATCTTACATTCCAAGGGATTAAATAACACAAGGTGAGACCTTCCAAGTGTCCCTATTTTCCAGGGACAGTCCTGGATTTACAGAAGCCGTCCTGGTTTCTGATTTGATCCCGGAATGTCCTGCTTTTCCTTAGGATGTCCCTATCTTCATCGGAGTAATACTGGAAGGTACAGAGTTATGCAAACCCCAAGCCAAGGAGATAACCAGCTATACAACCTTTAGTAAACATCTGAAGGCAGCCCTGTATAGGGAACTATTTTTTAAAGTTTAATGTTGTATTATGTTTTTATATATGTTGGAATCTGCCCAGAGTGGCTGGGGCAACCCAGTTAGATGGGTGGGATATGTGAAATAAATAAATAAATAAATAAATAAAGGAACAGGACATCCCTGTTTTCACTGGAGAAATGTTGGAGAGTATGCTCTGGGGATATTATTTCTGACACATACTAATATATTAATGCTTCCATGAGTTTTATTCGTTTATTTCTTTATTAAATTTATGTACCCTTCATCACAAGATCTCAAGAGCAGTTCACAGAATAAAACTTTCACCAAAGCAACAACAAGGGGAAGGCCAAGTCCCCACAGATCTCTTGCTGTTTCGGTTCTGTGTATGCTGGAGCATTATATAACTTGATTTGGCATCCCATCTCATTTCAATCAATCAATCACCACTAAGTCTGGGTCGAGACACGTCAAAGAAGCGTTTCAGTTAAATGCGTTGTAAATTTAAACAGGGGGAAAACAGGTAGAGAAAAATGGGACTCCACAGCTCCCTCTGGTGGCACCATGTTATATCGCATATAAATCACTTTTTCTTTGCCAATCTAGCTGAGTTTTGTGTTTTACTTCCAGGGCTAAAGGAAATTGGTTGTGGGAGAAGAATACTGGACTAGATGGACCTTATGTCTAGTCCTGCAGGGCTCCTCTTAAGTGCACTTTTATATGCCCTGGTGAGTGCTCTTTTAAATCTCACTCACTAGATAAATGGTCCTTCCTGTCAAATAAACTCCCTTCATTCTTCCTCTCATACTGTGTACGCTGTTGAGTACTTGGTCAACATGGCTTAACAAGGACTTGCTTAAGGCTGAGCCATCTCTGGCAGAGCTGCTGCCCCACCTTTTGTCTTTTGTGCAACTTACCTTGGTCCTTGTTGTTTGTGTTGTCATTCAGGCCTCATGTTTGCACTTATTTTTAGGCACTGAGATTACTAGCGTTTTGAAAACTATATAGCATGAGACGTGGCTGACAAAGTGAATAATCACAAACTGTTGTTAATGTCCCTACCCGGCTGGCTGTGTTTCTACTTTATGAGGAATTTATCCTGACAGATAATGTGCAAAAAATACAATCCAACTTTCCTCCCCCATTGTTTACTGAATGCAAAACTTTCTTTAAAATCTTCTAAGTAAGTCGGTGCCTGTAGTTTGCATAAGCCCTGAGAAGCACGTTGACAGTTGTGCTTAATTATCTGTAAGTCAGGAGCTTATTCAAGTGTATTCATAAATACAAAAAAAATACTGCTAAAGGCACTCTAACATGCAAATACCATCCTCTGTAAATCTGCACGTGGGGGGGAAAGCAGGAAAAGAAAACTGGAGGAAAATGTCTAAAGCTTTAACAGCTCGCTCTGAGTAATTAACCATAAGTCCAGTACAATATCCACATGTTATATTTAATTACATATCTTTCCTTCAATTGGATGTTACAGTTATTGTCAAATTGAAGTCTGTCAGTACACTCTGAGACTCATCAATTGTTTATCGCTCTGTATAATAGAATGTCATTGCACAGCCCCAACTGGAAGATTTGCAGTGCTGCGTCACAATCCTGGAATTGCATGAAGTCAGAGCTGGGTAAAGGAACAAAAGTGAAGGCAGGTAGCACAACAGGGGCCATGGCATGGGAATGAGAAGGGAGAGACATTGAGAAGGGAGCAAGTTTGCTACACAAGAGTATTAACTTTAGTTGTGCAACCTGAATTTTGCTGGTATGTAAGCATGCCAGTGACGCTGTGGTCTAAAGCACAGCCTCTTGGGCTTGGTGATCAGAAGGTTGGTGATTCGAATCCCTGCAACGGGGTGAGCTCCCGTTGCTCGGTCCCAACTCCTACCAACCTAGCAGTTCAAAAGCACCCCCAAAAGTGCAAGTAGATAAATAGGTACCGCTCCAGTGGGAAGGTAAACGGCGTTTCCGTGAGCTGCATTGGTTTCGCCAGAAGCGGCTTAGTCATATTGGCCACATGACCCGGAAAAACTGTCGGCAAACAAACGCCGGCTCCCTCGGCCTGTAAAGTGAGAGGAGCATCGCAACCCTAGAGTCATCTGCAACTGGACTTAACTGTCAGGGGTCCTTTACCTTTACCTTTTAAGCACCCTTACAATTTGCATTTGTAGGTCCCCAGTGCTTTCTAACCTCAAGGGAGTTAGCATTTCCCCATGACTCATCACCACTTGAGCAAATAGGGAGCACTTAATACCAAAAAGCATTTAGCCTGAAGCCATCAGCGTTCAAAATGAAAAACTTCCCACAAAACAAAAAATGATACATAATAGCATAGAGGGCATAATGCTGTGATCCCTGAATATCTGATAGCCACAGAACACCCCCCCTAAACTTCAGTGTGTGTGCCTTGCCACACAGCTTGGGAATTGTGCACACATTTAGTAGGCCTTCTCATGGAAGCCTGAGAAGAGTCCAAGGGTCAAACTCACAACCACAGCTTCAAATCATGGCTAAATGGGAACCCTAAAAAGCCTCAGGCGCAGTCGACATTGGTGCCAATGTGTCCTGAAGCAGCACTCCTTGCTCCTTGGGAGTTTGCTTTCCTGTCGCCGTTTCTTGATCTCTTGTAGCTGCCAGTATTCAGAGGGAGCCAGCAATTCTGTCTGTACAGGCTCTAGGTAAGACTGACATGAGAATACTGACTCATTGGCTCAGCTTTATGGTTTTTGTCCATTTTAAAACGACCTGCTTTTAAGGTCATGCTGGGCGAGAAGATATAGGCAAGGACCATAAAGAAACAAGCAGACTAGGGATGTGGACCCCTACTCCAGCCTGCCAGGCTTCTCTCATTCCAGCACTGGGATGGAAGCAGTACCCTCGCCACTTCTTAGCTGAACAGTATAGATCCAACTAAGGTGCAGAGGTGGTCCAGTTTTCATCCTGAGTGCTGCATGGGGAGGCTTTGACCTTCCCTTTGGCTGGGAAGAAAACTGACAGCTGTCACTTTGGCTGAAGCAATAGGCAGTTTTCACCTCCACCCTGAGTGCATTGCAACTCCTCAGGTGATCTAGACCAATCGGCTGAGAAGCAGAGAGCATGCAATTTTCATTCACATCTTGGGGTGTGTGTGCGTGTGTTGAACTTCTCTAGCCAGCATGCTCCAATTTGAAAGAAAACAACCCACCT